GAGGGCTTGGGGCGCGGGCGGTGGGGGGAAGCGCTTACCCGCGGGGCGACAGGGCAGACCTGCTCTCCCCTCCCCCCCGCGGAGCGGCGGGCTCTGTGGGGGGACTTTGGCTTGGGGCCCGCGTCGGTGTCAAACGGAGACACTGTGCCTGGTGTTACCACGTAGTCTCTCTGAGCTCAGTGTCCCCATCTGCAGCATGAGAAGTCGGCCCACTGGGAGGCAGTCCTCAGGTACCCACCGCCAGGCGCCATGCCCTGTCAGTTCTCTGTTATTCTCGGGGCCTCTCCCCTTCCTGCAGGCTGCCCTGGACTGGAGCCCCTGCGACAGAAGTTGGCCGCCCTTCAGGGGGCCCATGCCTGGATCCTGCGGGTCCCCTCCGAGCACTTGGCCATGAACTTTCATGAGGTGGGTCCCCAGGCTTCCAGACTCCTTCACAGTGGCCGGGGAAGGCTGACCTGGCTGGGGCCCGGGACGGAGAAGTGCCGAGGGTCCAGCCCTGCCGGGTCCAGCACTGACCTCACAGCAGGAGGGAGGACTTTCCCCCAGCAGCCTGGGGTTGTCTCTGCTCCAGCTCTGGGATGGGGGTGGAGGACCCCAGGGGGAGGGGGAAGGGGGCTGCCGAACATGAGCTAGGCCACTGGGAAGGTGGGTAGGGGCAGAGGCGGAGTGGTTGAGAGGTGTGAGTGGAGGGGCTGGTGGGAGTCTGTCTTCAAGTAGCAGAAAAAGAGTAGGGTTGCGGGGGCAGGGAAGGAGCATGTGTCTAGGTGAGAGTTTCTGGGGGTCAGGAAGAGAGGGTGACCTCTGGGATTTCCACTGACCCCCTCCCCCCCGTAGGTCCTGGCAGATCTTGGCTCCAAGACACTGACTGGACTCTTCAGAGCCTGGGTGCGGGCAGGCCTGGGGGGCCGGCATGTGGCCTTCAGCGGCTTGGTGGGCCTGGAGCCGGCCACACTGGCTCGCAGCCTCCCCCGGCTGCTGGCGCAGGCCCTGCAGGCCTTCCGCCTGGCTGCCCTGGCCGAGGGCGAGCCTGAGGGACCCTGGATGGGTGGGGGGCAGGGCTCGGGCCTGGGGAGGAAGGGGCACCACCCTCTCAGCCCCCAGGTTCCCCCAGCCAGGCAGCCATGAGCCATGTGTGGGCCACCAGCCCCTGGTGAGGACCTGCTGCTCCCAGGGGCTAAGAGGAACTTGGGGCACATAATGACAAACTGTCACTGCCACAAGCTGCTGGGTATGTGTGGGTGGGGTGGGGTGGGGTGGGGACCCTGGGCCCCATGTGTCTTCCCAGGTTTGCAATAAGAGACTCACAGCTGCTTTAATAAATGTTATTTATAATCCACGGAAACAACTCTGGAGCTTTCTTGGGATGGGACCTGGTTGGGGGGAGTGGACATTAGATCTCAGGGGTGGGGCCCAGTCTCCGGAAGCAGTTGGCGGGAGTTGCAGAGAAGCTGGAGAGGGCTGCGAAGTCCCCATCTGAGCCTACTTTCTGCCTCCTGTGAAGTGGCAGCAACTGGCCTTCCCATCACCCCCACAGCATTTTCCCCAGTGTCTCAACCCAGCCCCCGCCCCCACCACTAGGTGTGGGGAGGCCCAGCCTGGGATCTTTGCCTCGTGTCCTTGGGCTCCTGCCTGGCTAGCCAGCCCTCACTGCCCGCCCCTGCCTTGAGGTGTCAGATTGTGTTTCCGGCTGCCTCTTCCCTTTGCCCCCCACCCCCACTCTGCACCTGTCCCCTCTCCCGCCCACAGTCATTCCACAGCCCTGTAGACAGAAGGGCCAGTGACAGGCCCAGTCAGAGACAGGATGGAGAGGCCTGTGCTGACCCTGGGGCTGCTGGCCACCCTGGTCGTGTGTGGTAAGGGTAGACATCATCCCCACCCTGGGGGTCCCTCGGGACACCCACCCGGGCCCCTCACTGTGTGTCCCCCTCCCCACTCTACCATCTCTCCCTGTGAGGGGTGAATCTGGGATCCCCACCCCCAGGGAGTAGTCTGATCCCCCTGCTCAGCGGGACTGCCTAGCCAGGCAGAACTTCAGGGCAGCTTCCCTCCTGGGTCCTCTGCTCGGTGCCCTACTCCGTCCCTGACCCTCCCCAGGCAGCTGGGGCCTGAATGAGGAAGAGCGGCTGATCCGGCACCTGTTCAAGGAGAAGGGCTACAACAAGGAGCTGCGGCCCGCAGCGCACAAAGAGGACAGTGTGGCGGTCTCCCTGGCCCTCACACTCTCCAACCTCATCTCCCTGGTGAGAAGCGCTGCCCGCTGGAATGGGGAGGGAGGGAGGGCAGGGACGGCTTCCCCTAGACCCGACCTGGACGTCCGGGAAGGAAACTCAAGGCCCCAGGCCCCCTATGGCTGCCCCCTCCCTGGGAAACATGCCTGGGCTGCTCTCTGTGCCGT